ACCCATTTAACTCACCCCCAACCTCCCTAAGAGTCTATTATGGCTTGCCTCCCTCTCTTTTTATTTTATTTTTACTTTCTGTTAAGTTTCAAATTCCACATATGAGTGAAATCATATATCCATTTTACTCTGACTAACTTATTTTACTTAGCATAACTTCTGAAGAAGCCCAGCATAATACCTTCCAGTTCCATCCACATTGTTGCAAATGGTAAGATTTGATTTTTTTCATCATTGAGTCATATTCCATTCTGTAGTGGGACTGTGTGTGTGTATATATATATAAAGTTAGTTATATTAAAAAGTTAGTATATTGAGGCACCTGGCTGGCACATTGGGTTGAACATGTGACTCTTGATCTCAGGGTCATGAGTTCAAGTCCCACACTGGGCATGGAGCCTACTTAAAAAAAAAAAAAAGGTTAGTACATTATTTGCTTTGGAGGAAGAATCTTTGAATGTATCATTCTAATGGTATATGATTAATCAAATTCTTTTTGTAATTGAATTATAATTGACATACCATATCTTGTTGGTTTAAGGTGTATATCATAGTGATTTGACATATTTATATATTACTAAATGATCTCCATAACAAATCTAGTTAGCATCTGTCACTATACAATATTACAAAATTATTGATTATATTTCCTGTGCTGTACTTTATATCTCTGTGACTTATTTTCTAACTGAGAGGTTGTCCCTTTTAATCCCCTTCACCTATTTAGTCCACCCTCACCCCCTCCTACAATGATAACTAACAGTTAGTTTCCTATATCTGTGGGTCTGTTTCTGTTTTGGTTTATTTTTTAGATTACATATAAAGGAAATCATATGGTATTTGTCTTTCTCTGTCTGATTATTTCATTAGCATAATACCCTCTCTTCTGTCCATGGAAGATTTTATTCTTTTTTATGGATGAGTAATACAAATACACACACATGTGCATACATACACACACCCCAGTCTTCTTTATCTATTCATCTATTGATGAACACTGAGGTTTCTTACATATCTTGGCTATTGTAAATAATGCTACAATGAACAAGGGATGAGTATATCTTTTTTAACTGATATTTTTGTTTCTTTTATATAAATAGCCACAAGTGGAATATCTGGATTATACAGGAGTTCTATTTATAATGTTTTGAGGAACTCCATACTGTTTTTCACAGTGGCTGCACCAATTTACATTCTCACAAAGGTTCCCTTTTTTCCACATTATTGTCAAAACTCATTATTTTTTGTCTTCTTGGTAATAGCCCATCTGACAAGTATGAGGTGATACTCCATTGTGGTTTTAATTTTCATTTCCCTGATGTTTAGTGAAAGTAAGCATCTTTCGTGTGTTTGTTGGCCATCTGTATGTCTTTTTGGGGAAAAAAAAATGTCTATGTTCTTTGCTCATTTTAATCAGGTTGTTTGCTCCTATGGTATTAAGTTTTATATGTTGCTTATATATTTTGGATATTAAATCCTTATTGGATGTATGATTTGCAAATATTTTCTCCCATTCAGTAGGTCACCTTTTAGTTTTGCTGATGCAAAAGTGTTTTAGTTTGATGTAATGTCATTTGTTTAAGTTTTGCTTTTATTGTCTTTGTCTGAGGAGACTGGAACAAAAAAAATACTGCTAAGACTGATGTCAAAGAGTTTATTGTATGTGTTCTCTTCTGGATGTTTTATGGCTTCAGGTCTTACAGTCAAATCTTTCCATTTTGAATTTATTTTGTATATGGTATAATATAAAGATCTGGTTTCATTCTTCTGCATGTAACTGTCCAGTTTTCTTAATACAATTTGTTGAAGAGACTGTCTTTTCCCCATTTTATGTCCTTCCCTCCTTTGTCATAGATTAATTGACTGTGTATGCATGGGCTTATTTCTGGGCTGTATCTTACTTTTGTTCTTATTTTGTTCTTATTTTTGTTCCTTTGATCTATTCGTCTGCTTTCATTCCAGTACCATACTATTTTATTTCTATAGTTTTTTAGTATAGTTTGAAATCAGGAAGCATGGTACTTCCAGTTGTATTTCCATCACAAGATTACTTTGTCTATTCAGGGTCTTTTGTGGTTTTATACAAATGTTAGTATGGTTTGTTCTGATTCTGTGAAAACTGCCATTGATGTTTTCCTGGGGATTGCATTAAATCTGCAGATTGCTTTTGATAGTATGGATTTTTAAACATTAGTTCCTACAATCCAGGCACAGAAAACAGTTTCACTTATTTCTGTCATCTGCAACTTCTTTTATCAGCGGCTTGTATTTTTTAGAGTACAGGTCTTTCACCTTCTCGGTTGAATTTATTTTTAGGTTTTTTACTCTTTTTGATGTACTTGTTTGTTTTTACAATTTCTCTGCTATCTTTATGGTCAATTTCTTTTTTTTTAATTTTAACTTTTGAATATTTAAATCCAAGTTAGTTAACATATACTGTAATAGTGATTTCAGGAATAGAATTTAGTGTTTCATCACTTACATATAACACACAGTGCTTATCCCATTAAGTCTCCTTCTTAGTGCCCCTCACCCATTTAGCCCATGCCCCCACCTAACACCCCTCCAGCAATAGTTTGTTCTCTGTATTTAAGAGTTTCTTATGGTTTGTCTCCTCTATTTTTTAATACTTTTTTGCTTCCTTTCATTTATTTTTTCATGTTTTGTTTCTTAAATTCCACATATGAATGAAATCATCTATTTGTCTTTCTCTGACTGACTTATTTTGCTTAGCATAATACACTCTAGTTCCATTTACATTGTTGTGAATGGCAAGATTTCATTATTTTTGACCACTGAATAGAGTAATATTCCAATGTGAATATATACAACATCTTCATCCATTCATCAGTCAATGGACATTTGGATTCTTTTCATACTTGGGCTATTGTTGATAGTGCTGCTGTATACACTGGGGTGCATGTGTCTCTTCAAATTAGCGCTCCTGTGTTCTTTGGATAAATATCCAGTAGTGCAGTTGCTGGGTGATAGGGTTGTCCTATTTTTAATTTTTTGAGGATCTCCACACTGTTTCCCAGAGTGGCTGCCCCAGTTTGCATCCCCCCAACAGTGCAAAAGGGTTCCTCTTTCTCCACACTTGATGCACTTGTTTTCTTAATTTCTTTTTTTGATAGCTCATTATTAGTGTATAGAAATGCAATCAATTCCTGTAAGTTAATTTTGTATCCTATTACTTTACCAAATTCATTTGTTTATATATTATTGATTTTATATTACATATATGTATACATATTTGTATGTATATATGTGTGTGTATATATAAGTATGTATATAGGTGCCACTTATTTTCATATATATTCATATAGAGGCACCTGTGTGGCTTAGTCATTAAGCGTCTGACTCTTGATTTTGGCTCAGGTCATGATCTCACAGTTCATGGGTTCAAACCCCACTTTGGGCTCTGTATTGACAGTGCTGAGCTTGCTTGAGATTCTCTCTCTTTCCTTCTTCCCCTCTCCACTCACTCTCTCTCTCAAAATAAATAAATAAAACTTAAAAAGTATTAATATATATATTTGATGGAGTCTTTAGAATTTTCTATATATAGTATCATGTCATCTGCTGATAGTGAAAATTTTATGCCTTTTATTTCTTTTTTTACCTAATTTTTACCTAATTTCCAATATTATGTTGAATGGAAGTAGCGAGAATAGGCAGTCTTGTCTTGTTACTCCTCTTAGAGGAAAAGCCTTCAGCTTTTCACCATTGAGTATGATGTTAGCTATGATTTTGTTATATATAACTTTTATTATGTTTATGTACATTCCTTCTATACCCACTTTATTGACAGGCCCCTACAAGATTAGATTTTCACATATTCATCCCAAATCTTTGAGAGAAGTAATACTCCTTTAAGAGATAAAACTGCAGGAAACATTCCTTGATTTCCTTATTTTCTTTTTTTTTAATTTTTTTTAATGTTTTATTTATTTCTAGGAGAGAGAGAGAGAGAGAGAGAGAGAGAGTGAGCAGGGGAGGGTCAGAGAGAGAGGGAGTCACAGACTGAAACAGGCTTCAGGCTCTGAGCTGGCAGTCAGCACAGAGCCCGACGCGGGGCTCGAACCCACGAACTGCGAGATCATGACCTAATTGAAGTCGGACGCTTAACCGACTAAGCCACCCAGGTGCCCCTGATTTCCTTATTTTCTAGTCATATGGTAGTACTAACAGGATTTTAGAGTTGATATTGCCCATACTGTTCAATCATAATTGTGAATTTGGAAAGGGTTTTCATCTGGCTGGTATTCCAAATAGTGGAAAGCTAGAATTTATAGAAATCTTCCTTTCTAGCTTTCTCTTGTTTGGAATACTAATATGACTATTGAGTGGTCACAGACTTTCAGCTGGTCCACTAAAGTCAGGAACCACCAGACATCTAAGAAGGCTTACACTGACATCTCTGTTGTTTCAGTGGGCACAATCCATTTCAGATCAAGAGATGGGATGACACAGTCCCTGTTTTCATTATACATATGGTATGCTTATCCTTCAACCCAACTCCACAGGTTGAATGTCTATTCTTCCTGTAAAGTTCTCAGTTGTGTGAGAATGGATACTAATTGTGAATCTTCTCACAATCCAGATTCAACTAATCAGCACCCAGAGACTGGCAAACTGCTCTTTTATCACAGATTCTAATAACACCCTCGTAAAGGCTTCTACAAGAGCTGGTTTATACAGAGTATTAAACTAGCTCCATTCCAAAATGTATATTCTTTAGTTTTTGCCTTTTAAATTTAGCTAAACCATTAGTCTCTGTTGCATTTCACCCACCCTGACCTCAGCCTGGATATTGCCTTCATTACCTGCAATAAGCTTATGTGATTTTGTGGCTCGCCTTCTTTGTTATCCTTTTTTCAGGAATCAGTGTCATGCTATCTGAAAACCATTGTTCTCTATATATTGTTATATACATATTGTTATATACATATTGTTATATACGTATATTTTGGTTTGGTTTCTTTTTCAAATATTTTTTAAAGTAATTTCTATACCCAGCATGTGGCTTGAACTCACATCCCCGAAATCAAGTCACATACTCTATTGATGTAGCCAGTCAGGCACCGCCATATTTATATTGTTTTTAAAGTTGTTTAAGGTAGAAGAAAAATTTTAATTCCTGTTACTCCATTTTTGTTGATGACGATAGATTTTGTGTTGATAGATATTGTAATCCCAGTAGGACAGAGACATTTCTTACAAAATAAAAGGCAATTCTAATCTCTTAGTGAATAAATTTCCTGAAATTACAATAGGGAACTTCACAAAGTTTTTTTTTTCCCACCACAAGATTTAGGATGTACTACATAGCGATTACTTAGATTAAAAGTTAATCTTGGGGGCACCTGGGTAGCTCAGTTGGTTAAGTGTCCAACTCTGCATCCTAGCTCAGGTCTTGATTGGAGGGTCGTGAGTTCAGGTCCCACTTTGGGCTTCCTGGTAGGCCTGGAGACTACTTAAAAAAAAGTTAATCTTGTATCCTTTTCTCCTTTTAAATTATAGAATCTAATGTAATGAAATCATTTGCATGTAATTTTATCTAGATGTTCTGAGAACTGACCTATGGGGAAAAATTGAAATTTTAAATATCCTTTTAACTTTTCTCATATTCATTCCCCAAAACTAAATACATTATTCTACTACTCTCAGTGGCTAAATGTCTTTCATAACTAATGTAAATTAGGTTAAAGAGATATTCATTAACTTTTACAAAGAAAAACCTTAAAAAAAGTACCTGAAAATGGGCATAATTAACCTCCATGCCTAAATGAGTCATAGAACTGTGTGAGTCCATTCATTTTTTTATGCTTTCTTTTTGGTTAATAATAAAAATACCCATGGAAAGAATGATACTGAAGAGTAAACTAAAAGTCTAGTTCAAAAGGAAGACACATTTCTCCTGCTGTTATAGAAGTACCTCTTAATATGATTTTGTTTAATTCTGACTCTTAAGCTTAAGCAGAAATTCCAGTGAAACTAAGTGATTACACTTTAATTATGACCTACTTTCAAACAGAGTAAATTGGCAGAATTCTGTGCCTTAATAAGTAGCTGTATCTCTTGAAATACATTTGGGCCAGCCATGGTTATTGCACACATATTCATTGAATATTTCAAATTAAAGCAGCTGGCTCTATGTATAGGTTAAATGAAGATCAATTTACATTCTTTCACTAGTCTTCTCCTGCAGTTCTCAAATGTGAAAGCAAAATGGCATAATTTCTCACTATAAATAGGGTAACACTGGATATTTAGAACCAAACCAATTCAGAGGTATGGTCTATTCATTTTTAGCCTTGGACTGAGCATCAGAGATGTAGCTTATGAAGGCATTTGACATTTTTGGTTGCTTGTTTATAGTAAATTGGGGGGTAAAACTTACATGTCTACTTGTTAGTAGTTCTGCCAAGAAATACTTCCTATTGGAGGAGATGTATAAAAATAATACGGTTATTTTTGTTATTTGTGAGTATCAGTGGCCCATGTTATTTCTCTTCATGGTGGATAATCAAGATCCAATTTTCTTACAGTGAAGATAACTATTTACTTTGGTGCACAAATAAACCAAGGCAGAGAGAGATAAGATAAAGTGTTAAGTAAAAACTATTTTAGGTGAAATCAATATAAATTGTTTGCTGAGTTCAGTCAAGTGAACTTTTAAACTTGAGAATATAGCTAATCAATAAGTATACAAAGATGTTTTAATATAATAATTGAGATGAAAATATTTGGTATGAAAGAAAAAGAACTTGTCAGAATAAAGTTTAACTTGATTTCAAGATAAGTATGCCTACTGGTTATCTATCTAAGCAAATTTATCAAGATTTCATCAAGAAATTAATGAAATAAAAAGAACTTTTCAGTTTTTAATTCAATTTTTAAACTAATAGGCAAAATTAAAAATGACATAAGCTGATAACTTCTTGAGAGAGCTTTCACTAGTTATGATTCTACCCCTGACTTTCTTCATAGTGCAGAGGACCTTGACTACTACTTTCCTGACAAACAGACATGAGGTTCAGCAACATCTTTTACCTTCTTTGAACATGTCTCAATCTGTTTATTTCTTTTCTCATAAATTAGTAACTGAGCTTAATTGCTATAAGGATAATAGCCTCCAAACTGATGTCTCAGCCTCCAGTATCATCATCTGATCCATATTACATATTGCTGGGACAATAGTCCCAACATACAGATGGAGTGTGAAAATGACTGATGCAACTCATTTACTGACTCTTTTTTCTCATAGTTTTTTACTTATTTTTGAGACAGAGACAGAGCATGAGTGGGGGTGGGGCAAAGAGAGAGGGAGACACAGAATCTGAAACAGGCTCCAGGCTCTGAGCTGCCAGCACAGAACCTGATGCAGGGCTCAAACCCACGAACTGTGAGGTCATGACCTGAGCCGAAGTTGGACACTTAACCAACTGAGCCACTCAGGCGCCCCTGACTCTTAACTATCTACAGGATGAATTCAGTTATTGTGAATGTGATATACGAGGTCTCTCAATGAAGGAAACTTACCTAGTTTATACTCAAATACTACCTCTCTACTCAAGTCATGTTGAATTGATTGCTGTTTATCAAATCACAGTGACATTGTCAAACCTCTTTGTAGAATGGTTCCTTCTTAAATGCTACCTACCCTTGATGATCTTCATCCTTCCAAGATTGTTACGGCTCAATTATGATCTCCCTTATGATCATGCCTTCTGTGAGGGAGAGAGAGATGATATTTAAAGAGGTTTGGAAATGAAATTTAAAAAATGGGGCACCTGGGTGGCTCAGTTGGTCAAGCAGCTGACTCTTGATTTCAGCTTAGGTTTTGGCCCAGGGTCATGGGATCAATCTCCACATTGGGCTCTCTGCTGAGTGCTGAGCATGGATCCTGCTTAAGATTCTCTCTCTCTCTCTCTCTCTCTCTCCTCTCTCTCTCTCTCTCTCTGTCTCCCTTTCTCTCTGTCTCCCTCTCTCTCTCTCTCTCTGTCTCCCGTCCCTCTCCCTCTACCTCTCCCTGGCTCATGCTCTCTTTCTCTTTCTATAATAAAAAAGTTTTAAAAAGAGACTTGGAAAATGCTCAATTAAATGTAGTTCTTAAGTATGTTTTTAGTAATAGCAAATATCCAAGTAGGGGTAGCTAGTGTGCACCTTCCCTAAACTGATTTTTCCACAGAACACATTTTTGGGCAGAACATCTTGTGGATCAGATTCCATGGAATACTAGTTTGAAAGAAAAGTTTTTCAAAACCTTTTGGAAAAATACTTTTAGAGCTCACTATAAAAATGCTTGTCTGAAAAGACAAATTGAAGTGATTTATATATATATTATCTCATATCCCCTTTTGCTGATTCAAGAAGCCTTGGATAACATTTTTATAAAATCTTCGTTTCATTAGTGTATTTTGTATCCTAGAAAACTGTTTTACTTTAAACAAGTTAGTGTTTTTATTTTTTAAAAATTTTTAACATTTATAGATTTATTTTTGAGAGAGAGAGAGCAAGCACAAGTGGTGGAAGGACATAGAGAGAGGGAGACAGAGTCTGAAACAGGTTCCAGGTTCTGAGCTCTCAGCACAGAGCTCAATGCAGGGCTCAAACTCACAAGTAGTGAGATCATGACCTGAGCTGAAGTCGGATGCTCAACCAACTAAGCCACCCAGATGCCCCAAGTTAGTGTCTTTAAACAAGAACATTTCCTGTGAACTGTACTGGCAAAGTATTAAATTAACATATTTGATTTCAAAATAATGTTTAACATTAACATGGTTGCTGATACAAAGCTGGCAGTCTTTGTTTCCTTCTTTCTACTAAGTGCCACCGTGTTGTTGGTCCTGTGAGTAATTTCCTTGCTTAGACTGGTTAAGAAGGGGAGAAGGAGGTGAGAAGCTTCTGATTCTTGACATAGCAAGAGATTTATTTTTCTAATGCTTTTGATGAATTCTTATCTCTTCCCTGTTTTTCAGAAATCTGACAGTTACTGTGTAATTATCAACAGTTAGCACTCTGTGAATTTATCTTTCTCCTAAAACAAAAATCAGGGATTAAACGCAAAATCCTTTCACTTTGAGGAAAAAACACCTTTTTTTCTTTTTATATTGTTAACTTTAATTTTTTCTCCTCTTTGTAGTTTTTTTCTTTATTGATCTGAGGTCACTTCTGACCCTTTCGTATCTTATCTCCCAGTCAAACTTTTAATCCTTATAGCCTATGGTTATTGCCTTTATTTATGAAAATTCCTCTAGACAGAATATATACTCATATAAGAGAAGACCTAACAAAGTGGGAGCTACATTCTCATATGAAGACCAACTGAGTAAATCCAGTGGTCAAGTATCTACCATGTTTCAACACCAAGACTCAGCCAAATCCCAAGACACAGCCAACCTTGAGGATCCAGATGTTTCTCTCCAGATACCATAATTCTGACAGTCTATAGCTGTTTTATACATTTTTTGATTCTTAAGGTGTCATTTATTTTCTTTCTCAATTTCAGTTTTCATTTTAACAATATATTTAAACTTACAACAGTGATTCCATTTACATAGAATGCTGGCTAACAACTGCTGCATCATTATACTTCTTTAGAATCTTTCTGTTGTTTTCAAAGCAAAAAAAAAAGACCTCTTCAAATAAAAATTTGTCAATTTTTTAAGTCAGATAATTATGAGAATACTAAACTGATAGTAATTCTGCACATAGAAGGCTGCCTCTTGGAAATAAAAATCTTTTTGAAGCATCTGCAATATGTCATTTGAGAAGGCCCTTTTACATTGCCTCTAGCCTTTGCATATCAATCTAATCTCAGGGTGTTACTACAGTTTTGTACCTCCAACAGTCCGATTTTAGCTATAGTATAGATCCAAGGTTTTAAATTAAGAATAATAATAATAATAATAATAATAATAGTATTCAAGGGCTTATTTAGTTCAGTTAATTCTATTTAAATTCTATTAAAGGGAGGAGAGGTAAAAGATGAGAAAGGAATGTTGTTTAATTTCTTGCCTTGGTTTATAAGTTAGTATTTTGACAACAGGGCATTGATAAATAAAAAAAGGACAAAAACAGGTGTGGACTATTACAGAGAGAAATACACTTGAAACTAACATAACATTGTATGTTAATTAAATTTCTATAATGAATAAAGGAAGGAAGGAAGGAAGGATTGCAGCATGCTAAATTGGCACTTACTTGGCACAGGGAATAATGTTGAGCTTTAACTAAACAAAAATTCTTTTTTAAAAATTTTTCTTATGTCTTTATTTTATTTTGAGAGACAAAGACAGAGAGTGAGCGGGGGAGGGGCAGAGAGAGAGGGAGACACAGAATCTGAGCAGGCTCCAGGCTCTGAGCTGTCAGCACAGAGCCTGACATGGGGCTTGAACCCACTGACTGTGAGATCAGGACCCCAGCTGAAGTTGGACACTTAACCGACTGAGCCACCCAGGCGCCCCACTAAACAAAAATTCTTAATGCGTTTGTTTTCCTTCAACACACATGACTCACAGTTAAAAGTATAATCTTTGTCTTCCCTTGGTCCCCAAAATCATTTTATTGTTATGGGGAGAGCAAAAATTAACAAAGAGAAGTGAAAGTCCATCAGGTTCATAAGGCCCGATATTTATATCAGGACTGTATTTTTTGCTCCAGATTTACAGGGCAGTCTTTTTTTTTTTTTTTAATGTTTTATTTATTTTTGAGAGAGAGCTAACATGAGCAGGGGAGGGTCAGAGAGAGAGGTAGACACAGAATCTGAAACAGGCTCCAGGCTCTGAGCTAGCTGTCCACACAGAGCCCCACGTGGGGCTCGAACCCACAAACTGTGAGATCATGACCTGAGCCGAAGTTGGACACTTAACTGACTGAGCCACCCAGGTGCCCCTACAGTACAGTCTTAAATAAGCAACACCTGAGACCATCATTTAATATTTTATTTTTCAAAAAATCTGGATAGTAAATAATAAATAATCTTCATAAATATATTTTTTACAAGAATATGTTCATGAGAGGCATGCCCACTTTGAAACATATTCTACAGACTGTTATTTAGACAGTTAATTGCCACCCAACAATAGCGGGGTAGTCTTCTAGTACTGGAGCTCTATCAGTGAAAAAAACTACATTAAGGATCAAGATTTTTTTTTATTATCAGTTACATCTTGTGTATATTCTGTTCTTTCTATAAATGTTATTTGAGCTAGACTTTTCACAGTATTAACATGGAAATCTCATTAGTTGGAAACAATATTTCCTGTTTCATTTTGCAATGCTCAGATGCCTAAATTTCTAAATGGATTCCCTTAACTTTTGTTACTACATTTATTCCCTGCATTTATATTACATGTTTATTGTTACTGATAATTATTATATTATTAATATTTATGTTAACACTATCACATTAATATATTAATCAAATTATAGGTATTTTGAATAGCTGTTGATAATTTTTATTATAATTAATAATATAACAATAATCAAAAACAATGATAATGAAAACCAGTAGCAGTAGGTAAATAAATGCCAATAGTATGGCAAGCACTATATAGGTATATTTCATATTTAACGGATCACTGCTTTTGTTCACGGAATTAATTCTCTCCCCATTCCCAACTGGTGTTTATTTCACAGCCAAGAATAGGAATGATACTTAGTCTGGAGCCTTGCTTCCTTATGCTATACTAAGATTACATCAATTATCAAGATTAGAAGCATGCCAGGGAGTATTGATAGCTTAGAGGAATTTCATTTATCTGAAGGGCCACTGTGAATCCCAAAAGGAATTTTTTTCTAAAACTCAGAAAGACAAGTGATATTAAGAAATATATTTTTGGTCACTCCTTTATAAACGTACTGATTGTCAGGATCTCTTGGAGAAATTTTGAAAATGCAGATTTCTTATTTCTATCTTGAGTGAATTTACTTAAAAATAGTCAAATATTATTTTGTGAATGCCTGCTTTATGCCAGGTGATATTTTGGAACCTGAAAATTCAGCAGTCAGTGAGAAATGTCCATAAGTCTATGGAGCTTAATTTTTTTTTATATTTGTTTATTTTTGAGACAGAGAGAGAGAGAGAAAGAGAGAGAGAGAGAGACATACAAAGAGTGGGGGAAGGGCAAAGAGAGAAAGAGGGAGACATAGAATCTGAGGTAGGCTCCGGGCTCTGAGCTGTCAGCACAGAGCTTGAAATGGGGCTAGAACTCATGAGCTCTGAGATTAGCTCAGCTCAGGTCAGAGGCTGAAGTCAGAGGCTTAATTGACTCAGCCACCCAGGCACCCCCATATTCCTATGGTGCTTAAATTCTGGTATGAGTATGTATGTTGTCTTCTGCTACACTGTCATGAAATCTGAAATTGATTGAGAGGACACTGAGCAATGTTTTTAATTTTTTTTAATTTTTTTTAAATGTTTCATTTATTTTTGAGAGAGAGAGAGAGACAGCGTGAGCAGGGGA